TCTGATGGTAAGACCATAAATGATGTATTTGTATTCTTATGTGAACAATTTTCAAAAAAGTTTTGGTTTTAACACAAATCTTCAAAGATCCAATGGTGGTTTATCAAAACCTATCTCGGATTTTTAAGGTTTTAAGGGTTTCAATGGTGGTTCATCAAAATCCATCTCTGAAAAAAAACCCATATCAGATGTGCTCATCGTTTGTGTCACTGAATAGAAAAACCAATGCTGGAATACGAACAAACAAAAAACGAACTTAAATCTGAAAAACGAACCAATAACTTGTTCTTGTGTTCATCATGTGTGTAGAACCCAAAAATCCCTAAATTGATGGGTTTGGATCTGAAAGGAAGCTAGAAATCTGAAATCAGTATTCGAAATCTGAAAGAGTTACAGCTCTACCATTAATGAACAAAATGAACAAGAAACAACATTTGAAAACTTTTCCCTTAAAACCTAGATCTGAACCATAGGTGTTATGGTTTGCAGATCGGAACTTGGTTTTGTAGAAAATCAAAAGGAAGAAAGGCGGCGTTTCAGAGAAGAAGACGACGTTCCGACAAGGGTTTACTGTTTCTTGTTCCGGCAAGGGTTTGCAGATTGGAGGCTACAATTTGTGAGTTTATTTTTGTATGTTCATGTTCATATTCATCTTCACCAGCTTCAAATTTTCACTCACAAACACTAAGAACACATAGTTAGGTGTGTTTTGTAATTTCATTTCCTGATTTTTGTGTTTAATTCCTTCAATAAAACCTAGATTCAAAGTGCGGCCAAAGGTAAGGAACGTTGAAAATGTCGTTAGATTTGCCAGCCGAGCTTACTTAGATCTACAACACCTTTCATGTCTTCCAGCTGCAGAAGTGCTTGGTAAATGACTTTGTAGTGGTGCCTCTAAAGGATATCCAGGTAGATGACACCCTGAACTACATTTAGTGACCAGTAGCCATCCTCGACAGGAAGACAAAGGATCTAAGGAACAAGAGGGTGGAATTGGTGAAGGTGCAGTGGCAGCACCGCAAGGTCTCGAAATAGACGTGGGGGAGCACTACCCATCGCTATTCCCAGACGCAACAGACTTCGAGGACGAAGTTTAATATAAGTGGGGTAGTTTTGTAATGTCCAGTTCTTGGTATGTATTTTAAATCAAAGTTTATTCACTTTTGTATGGAAACTCAACGAGTTGGAGGCCCCAAACTCGTCGAGTAGGAATGGAATTTGGAGGCGGAATGTAAAGTCTACTCGACAAGTTGAGAGCCCCAACTCGACGAGTAGGACTGGCAGAGTGAAACCTTAATTTCAGGATTTTGCACCCTATTTAAACACATTAACCTCCAAAGGTTGGCCACATTTACAGCCTCTAAGTCCCAAAACCCTAGCCACAAAACTCTAGTGCCTTGTGTGAGCTTGTGGGCCATTTTTTAGAGAACTTGTGTATTTGAAGCTTATGGAAGAAGAAGAAGTTTGAGGACTCAAGAAGAAGAGAGTAGATCCAGAAACTTCACTCAATTTGCAGCATTTTCGGGTAAGGAAGTCTCAAACTTACTTAATGATTTCTTAGATCTCTTAGTTTCACTTTTATGGGGTTTTGGGTCGAAGAATGTGAGCTTTTGGGAAATGGACCCCCCAAGCGAGTATACTAACAGATCTTGGACCTTGAAGGGCTTTTATGACATAAATGTGCAAACTTTAAGGCCATTAAAGCCACATGCAAGCTCTAAGATGTTATTTTGGCCTTTTAAGCCCAAAAGGCCATGCATGGAGATAAAGGAGAAACTTTACATGTTTAAATGGTGTCTAGGGTCTAGATCTCAGTTTGTATGCCTTAGTTTAAAGTATATATGCTTTTTGGATCAAGATATAGATCTTAAAGGATTAGGCTTTAAGCTAACCCATTAAGAGTAGCTATTAACGGATAAAGTTGGAAACTTTAACTCCTTTCATGTTTTAATGTGTTTACCTCGTCACTTTAAACCCCTTGAATTTTATGTTTGTAAAATTTATTAATTTATTTAAACAAAAACTAATTTAATGTGTTATTTTTATTTTTATGTATGTATTATTATAAATTCGAGGTGGTCAACGTTTCGACGTAAATTTAGAAATTTTGTCCAACAATTTAACAAAAAAATACTTGCTTTTTTGTGTACATATTAATATAAATTTCATTATGTGTAAGTTTCGGCATATATATATATATATATATATATATATATATATATATATATATATATATATATATATATATAAAATACGTTTTGGTGATTCGAGTTTACTTACGTTTTGATATAAATATTTTTTTACATTATCGTCCTTACTTTTAAGCATTTTGCTTGATATGGATTGGTTCTCTGACTTTTATTTTTTGGCAACTTATGTCCTCCTAAGATTTTATGCATGATTTGGTCCCTGATTTTAATGGTTTGACTACTTAGTTTTTTTGAAGTTTCTATTTGCTACTGAAAATTCTTTTTTTCTTAAATCCATTTCTGCTGCCGCAACGCGCAACAGGTAAAATCCTAGTTTATATTTAATTCCATACGTATTTTTGTTATCATTATTTTATATATTTTTTAATGGTTATTTTTATTTTTATTTATTTATTTATTTTCTGTTATTCTAAAGATCCAGGAAACAACAAACAACATATGTTAAAATCTAAATATCCTACCATTCATTTTTCAAGTTTTCATTAACATTAGTATTATCAAACTCCAAAAGAATCCATGTATCATAATTATTTCTGAAATCTAATCCACAAAACCATGAACTCGAATATAACCCATGAAACTGCAAACCCTTATGACTAAACGGGTTACCGGGTCATTTCCGGGTTGATGTTCCTAACCCATCAACTCATGACACAAATAATCATATGGATCGTATACGGGTTGATGTATTTCGACCTACCAACCGGAATACGATACGCTTGCCACCGAGGAGTTGCTCCTAAAGTCATGCTGTTTAGGGATATTTTGTAGCTTTGTTTGATATTTTAATATTATAACTTTTATATTACCAATGACCATTTTACTGTTTGCAATGAATCCTTTTTATTTTATAACAATTCACTGTTTAATATGTGATTTTAAATAATCATAAAAAGCTCAGGATGGATAACGTATAAAGTATATACCCTAAAGATCAATAAAACAACTATTATACGACTCAGTGTTATATGTTTTTTTATTAAGCGACCAAGCGTTATAGGTGTAAATTACTAAATTTGCTTAACTTCCTAATGTTTGCTATACGATTTTTTTATTTGATTTAATGTTTACTTCGATTTTTTTATTTGATTTAATGTTTACTTCGATTAATTAAATTATTGCGTAATACTATATATATATATATATATATATATATATATATATATATATATATATATATATATATATATATATATATATATATATATATATATATATATTATTAGACTTGGTTCTTAAGTAATTTTGTACATATTGTCTATTTTTTAGAAGCCACTAGCCCACTACGATTGTTATTACTCTCATTCTCAGGCCTTAAATCCGAGTCTCTTGTTTTATCGCTTATCTTAAAAGATGACATCATGAAACCAATTGGAACTATGACGCGAGGGCTTAAAAGTTGTACTAAAAATATTATGTTTGATTTTGAATTCACGTTATGCTTTTGGGAGATATTTAGTTTAACGTGGTTAATAATTGATGAAAGATTTAAGGTGTAATATAATATTCTCGATTATTTTTACAACGGTTTAATTAAGTTTATGTTCAAAAATCTATTAAATTAAGACAAGGTTATATTTTAATTCAAAAGAACATTGTATCTAGAAACTTTTAGTTGAAAAAACAATGTTAATATTCTTAATGGGCTAGATTTCAACTTAAAACAACTGTCCCAGACTGCCAACAATGATGAGAATTCCAACAATTTATATCCAAACCCGTCATCTTTTTAGGAAAGACATGTCATGCCTTTATCTTACATGTGTATACTATAATCACCCTTTATGTTTCATAATACCAGTGTTTGATCTTTAATGATATCAAGTGTTAAGCATGCATCATAGTTGCATGATAAAGACATGTCAATTCAAGTGCTCACACATTTCATTTTTCCAACCGATCGGTAAAAAATCTCAGCAGGTCAATACCTAAGACAACGAACTAAAATCCATTAATAATGATTAAGTTTGCATTCTCATTCGTTGTATATTGATAAATAAATTTTATTAATCAAAGATTTGTAATTCAAAATAAAAAAATAATAATAAATAATGGCTATAAATTCAAATTTCATATTTTAAAGATCTTTAGTTTTTAAAACGAAATCAATCTATATAAAATACATGAAACAAAATCGAAAAGTTTGTAAACTGCCATCCATTTCACAAATCCAATTTTAATGTTTGTAGACAGATGATTTTAAAATGTTTATTTAGAAAGATGAAGCTTCTTCCATATTTTTTGCTTAGACAATTAAAAATAGGCTTAATGTCATAATAAACAATAATATATATAATTATTTCTTTTAAGTTCACTTATCTTTGAATGTATTCGTAAGTCTATAAACTTCATTTGAGTTCATTATAAGATTGGGATAGATTTCAACTGGGTAAATTGGTATTAAATGATATGTGGTGTTAACATGACATTTTTTCACTTATGTCTGTTTGAGACATTGATATTATTGGATTTGATATGAAAAAATTATTTGATTGAAATGCATTTTAATGGTTTAACAATAACAAAAAAAGGTTTAATGAACTTTAAGTACTATTAATAAATAGACAATCAACCTAAAAAAACAAAGTGTTATTGGTTGTCATTTTATGACATTGACTCTTATAAGTAAGAGATCTTGTTTTCTTTGGGACTTATAGAGTAACATTTAACTAATTACGTGACCATTTTATTGTTACTTTTAAAAACAAGGGTCTTATTTTGTAGTTCGCCAAATATAAAAGGACCATTAATGAAACATTCCAATAATTATGGAATATAATCGAAGTTTCCCATAGACTTTCCCAGCTCACATATTCTGGCCGGCGCCAAAAGTAGTCACCGGCCACCTTCAAATACCCCTCCCACTTTCTTTCAATTTCATCAATCGTAGACTTTACACGCAAAGCTGCAAATTCATCAAAATCACACACGAAATCCATGGATATCTTTTCTTACTTCACCTCGAACATTGACACAGAGAAGTAAGTGCTTCGTTAATTTCCTTTTCATGGTTTGATTTCGTTTTCACAATTGATGATCGGGAAAATTGTGCTTTTTGTTTCTTATGTTGACTTGTGATGTATTATGATCAACAGGATGGGTTTTGATGACGACGAATTCGAAGATGCTGAAACAGGAACAGCTCTTTCTTTGATTTCAGATGCATTTGAGGAACTATCGGATTTAATTAAAAAGGATAATGGGGTTTCCATCGAGCTGCGTTTGAAACCCTTTTGTGATGCGTGTTCTTTGGTCTCTGTTCTATTTGGTTCGCTTGGCATCGCTTTCAAATTTGCCGAGATGGAATACACCTCCAAGGTACCTTTTCTGGCTTTCTTCATCGAATTCATTACAAGCTTTTCTATTTTCAGGACAAATGAACGTTATCACGTCAAATCAATGAACTATAATCAGCCAAACATAAAAATCGGTGATAAATAGGAAGTTTCTGAAAGTAATTCGAGACATAGTTTACCGAATTTGAATCTATTGAACTCTGGGGTTCATTCAATCATTCAATACATGAAAAAACCCTAATTTCATTGTTGATTATGGTCATCAGGTGCGTGATCTTTCTGAAGCAGCAAGTCTTTATGGCACTTTAAGTAAAGTAATTGATTACGATGTTAAAAGCGACACTGTGCAATCAGCTGAGAGCCTTACTCGAAAGCTTCGAAGAGTTAGGCAAGGTCTAGATCTTATCAGAGAATTGTTTCAGAATTTCTTGTCAACAGAGTACGTATCTTTCCTCGTATACATCAATTACAAAAACTTCAATCTTTTGTATGAAAACAATATCATGACTATGTCATGTCATTTCACTTAACATTTGAATTGAGAAAAAAGTTGTCTTTTCTCATATATGACACAAAAGCTTCAATCTTTTGTCATCACATTTAGAAACAATATCATGTCATATGATGTCATAATATAATTAATATTATGTCATGTCATTTTGTCCAAATATGTAAATGTTCAAAAATAATCTAGGAAAGAAAAGTTTATCTAGTTATGTCGTATGTAACAAATGCAGACACATTTTTTGTTATTTAAGATTAGTTATTTAAGATTAATGGTGTAATTAATCTAATAATGTTAAAATGTTTTTGAAATCTTTTAGTGATTACTCGTTGAAAGAAGCAGCTTCAGAGGCTTACAAACAAGTGTGCGCTCCATATCATACATGGGCGGTTAGAACTGCAGTTTCAGCTGGAATGTGTGCTCTTCCAACAAGAGATCAACTCTTGTTAAATCTAAATGAAAGTGGTAAGTTGTAAATTCTACTTTCCCATGATGCATAATTTGGAAAATAATAAAGTTGCATAAATAAGTATCTAACTGGTGTCACGTCATGTATCACAGATGAATCAGCAGAGAGTGAAATGAGAAGGTATATAAAGGCTTCGCTTCCGATTATAAATTACATTGATAATCTCTACACTTCAAGGGGAATCACTTTGGATTGGTGATATTTTATTGTACAAAGCCCAAAGTTGTTCACAATTTTTTTTTCCATGGAAATCATCTATGTTATGTTATGGTGTCAAGGTGTGTTTGTTCCTATTCTTTTTGTATATTGGCCATTCTTTGTTACAATTAGGTGAATTGTGTTAGAATTAACTTAGTTTTTATATTACCATTGGCGCTATTGGAGATTTATGTACATGTTGGTTTTGGTATTTTTTTTTTTCTTGAATTTGTGTATAGTTGTGTCGCATCCCATTTTCCAATAATTTTGTGGTTGGAATTTTCGAGTAATAATAATTTGTAATATTGTAAATAAAGTCAAATCATTATAAATTTGAAACGTAAACCTTTGTAGAGTAATATAGTAAAAACCATGACATAATTTACAATGCAAAGGGGTATAAGTTTGGCCCAAGTCCCAATGTGTGTATAGGGCCTTTTATTGAGTTTTAGGTATTAATGTATGCTAAATGTAAAGACGAATTTTTTTTTTTTTCATATATTCTTTGATTGTTATATCTTACATACTAACATTTACATACATTTGAATGGTGAGCGGGTTGAGGTTGAAAATTAAGTCGATGTATGTAGAGCACATGTAACATAGAAGTCATATTTATGCCAATTTTAAGGACTTGTTTTTGTCATTTGCAACATCGAATGTTAAAGGTTGGCTTTTGGAACATATGAAAGAAATAATTGTTCAACTTATTTGGTAGATGCTAACTATTTTGTATATAAAAATGTTTTGTACTAACTAACATACTAACTGCTTTTACATACTAACCAAGGCAGCTAAACACAATTTTGCATGTGAGTATGTATATACTTAATGTTTGACGCAATATGAAAAACATGTATATATGACTAATTTACATACTAACGTTTTTTTTTATGTATGACTATTTGAAAAAATATATATATGTATGACTCTAGTAGTGAGTTTGAAAATGAGATGTGTATGCTTATGTTTTAATAGAACATCTTCAATTCTAATAAAAGAATAAGTTTAGTTTTCTTTTATCATGTATTATTTTATTAGGTTTTCTAATTACTATCATGTTACTTATCAACCTATTGATTATCCATTTCAAATTTCAAAATTTAAAATTTTCACTATAATTATATTAAATTAATAACATTAGAATAAAAATTAAAACAAAATTAATACAGTTTATAAGGTCACAAATTTATTTAATTAAATGGTTATAACTTTATATAACTATTTTATATAACTAAAAGAAGATCTCTTAATTAGTAACTTATTTAAAATAAAAAATTAATAATTTTAAATATCAAAAAAAAGATGGAAAACTACAATTAAAGACATTTAATTAATAGTTCAGTAAAATTCATACTAAAATCACAAGTAAAGTCAAAATAAGAAATATGAAAAACACTAAAGTAAACAGAAGCATGACCATCTTAAACTTGTATTTATCTGATTGATTTACTAAATGATATTTTTTTTGGAAAGCAAGAAATTTTATTTGAAAAACAAACGAATAAGACACCTGACAATTACAAATTATAAGTTACAGAGACTTGTATATTATATGGATTAATTTAAAAAAAATTAAATATAAAAGTCAAAATATTGAAAACTTTAAATTTATAAGAAAATGTAAGTTTATTAATGAAATTGAATTTAATTTTGGGAATTTTGAAATTAAAAAGTAAGTTCATTAATAAAATTAATATTCATTTATTGTAACTATTACATTAAAATATTGTATGAAATTTAATAAAATAGAAAAAATAATAACATGTAGAAAAAAAAACTAAATCAAAATAACCACAAAATAACATTTGACAAATTGAACGAGAATATAACAATTGTAAAAAAAAATTTAAAAAAAAAAAAAAAAAAAAAAAACTTTAAGGATGAGGAGAGAATACAAAACCGATCAATCAAAACTAGACTATCCATCCCTATACTTAATCAATATCATCCATAACTTTCTCGTAGAGCATATTTTGAATTCTTGAAAATAGTTGCATTTCTCGCCAATAATTGGGTTGATGGGAGATTGATCCATTTAAAATAGTTGTAATTCTTTTAAGGACAACAAACTTGGTTCCAATATCAACCTTTATATTTCAAATGTACATTACGCAACAATTTACTTGATAGTTATGACACCTTTAATGGGTCTAAGAAGTCCAACATTTAGCTTGAGCTCTACATCCGTGTACATAAATGTCATTTAATTGGTGGACATTTACTCCAAATTTGTATATGATGGAAGCAAAAGAAGGCATTTAATTTGTTTGATTTTTTGTTCTAGATCGATTTCAAGAAAAAAAACATACATTCCTTTATAATTGAACTAGGAATTGTATATGTGTCAACCAAATTGCCACATAAGTTACATATCACTTCAGTAAATGTCACCTCAACATTCATGGAAGCTAACATATGAAATCACATAGTTAATTTAAAGAAATATATATATATATATATATATATATATATATATATATATATATATATATATATATATATATATATATATATATATATATATATATATATATATATATATATATATATATATATATATATATATATATATATATATATATAAAAGTTTGACGTTAGCCCATTTCACTAATAAAATGTCTAACAAGAAATTACTAACAAGAAGGTTGGGGGTTCTATGACTTCTATCCCATAAATATGTTAACCAGCCATTCTAAAATGCGGGGAAAAAAAAATGAAACTGCCGTAATTAACCAAAAAACATCCAAAAATATAATTGTATTATTCATAGTTTGTCATTACATATTTTTTAACATCAATGTTATTTTAAATGAGATTTTTATTATAAGATTGTAATATTTTACGAATATACAAACAAAAAATTTATCATGGTTCCAGTAAGACAATTTAAGCAAGATGGAACCTATAATCATATGATCGAATGTAAAATCAAAGGGTTGTACAATAATCCTTTAACTCTTTCTATGATATCGTTCTTAGTGTCTAAATTTGTAAACTCTAAAACCTTTTCTACAAAACTGACATCTCATGCCACTTCAAAAATCTAATACAATGTCTATAAAATTTGTCCGTTTAGCTTTAAATCGAGCATCATATTGTAAACTCACAACTTCATTAATTCGTCTCAAAATCATAATGATGTCGTTGCATGCAAGTTCTTCTATTTGTTTATTTTCTCGGTTAAAATGCTCTTTTTCTAGTTAACCTATCATAATAGGGTTGACAATTCTCGACACAACACGCGGCACGATACGAAATAAATGGGTTTGGGTTGAGTTTTTCAACCCGCCAACCCATTTATTAAACATGTCATATATGGGTTTCTTAAAAAATAAATGGGTTGACCCACCAACCCGTTTATAGTCTTAATAAAAAAATTATTTTATTTTTAAATGTGTTTATGTATCAACTATTAATATTTAATAAGTATTATATAATATATACCACTGATTCATAGATCATTTGACTGTTTTGATATTTTGACTCGTAGTGGATGGTCTAAGGTTGTAAGTCCTAACCTATAAGGTTAAGTCTGTAACATGTTTCTATAAATCTTTTTAATTTTCATTTGGATGTTTAATACTTAAATGTCTAAAATTTGGATCCACGAACCCAAATCTGACCCACGAACCCGCCAACCTGTGAACTCGTATAAATAAATGGGTTGGCGGGTCATATATGGGTTTATGCTCCAAACCCGTCAACCCGTGACCTGTATATTTAAATCGGTCGTGTTTAGGTTTACATATTTTGACCCACCAACCCGCGACACGCCAATCCGAACACGACACGATTGTCAGGCCTATATCATAAGGAGGCTACCATCAACAACAATAAGGAATGTGGAGTCAATTATAATGGTAAGCGAAAGAGAGGACATCCTCAAAAGAAGTTAAAGGATAACGTGAGGCTTAACATGGATGAACTTGCTTTTACATAACACCTGGTCTTATGATGGTGTGGATGCATAATATTAGAGTTGATGGATAGTCTCACCATCTATATATCTTTGTTTTTTTTTATATTTATTGTCGATAACGATTTTATGCTCTTATGTTAGTTTATGCTTATCCATGTATCGTTTTACTACTCTTTATCGAGTACCCCACGTATTTTCCTCATTTGCAAGTTATAATATTTGTACACTTCATTCCGAAGCACCATATATATGTTTTACTGCATAGTATAACTTACTTTCCCCTTGTTTTCCCTTTTTATAGATTTTCATTGTTTGTATATCAACGGTCATATAATGATGGTCGCTCTTCCGTCCACGGAGAGTTGATTGTTGATTTGATGGGATTCATTTGGTCAGTAATTGCTATTGGTATTAGGATTAAGAGAATTATGCACATCCACCTAAGAACTAACACATGTTTGTCAAATTTGTAATAATGTTCACAACTACATGGATATCTTATGTAAAGCTACGTCTTTAAATTTTACCCTTAAAATAAGAGATTTTTTTATTTCGACTATAAAAACTGTATACAAACTCATTGTTAACTTCTCAATAGCACCAATTAGGTTATAACTTATAGCATATCAAACTCCCCGATCCACATGATCTTTCGACCCTAATGCGATCATATAATTACAATTTTATAAAGTGAAAAACAATACTAAATAAATTCTTTGATTTTTAAAACATTGTTTAAGATATAGTTCTAACTTTTTTTAAGTGAAGAAAACAAATATCAAATTTAGAAGAAATGGGTTTAGTTGAGGGAGTAGAGTAGACCAACGAACTCGGATGACATGGCCAATGTTTGGGCGATGTTTACAGTGTTTCCTCTTCCTCATATCCTCGTCTTCTCCGCCTCATTCTCTTTCCATTCCTATATCTCTCTCCCAGATTTTCTCATTTCACCCCCAAATCCATCCTCTCCATATCCCTCTCTACAATGTCTTCTTCACTTCTGCAAGCTAGGGCTTCCCCATCCCTCTCTTTCTCTTCATCCATCTCCGCAGCCAACACCCAATGGCGCTTTACCTCCTCGCCCGCCGTTACATTCACTCGCCGCACAAGGAATTACACCGTCCGTGCTAAAATCAGAGAGATCTTCATGCCTGCACTCAGCTCCACCATGACGGAGGGCAAGATCGTCTCGTGGATCAAGTCCGAAGGGGATGTTCTCTCCAAAGGTGAGTCTGTTGTCGTTGTTGAATCTGATAAAGCTGATATGGATGTTGAAACCTTCTACGATGGAATTCTTGCCGCTATTGTTGTTCCTGAGGGTGAGTCGGCTCCAGTTGGCGCTCCGATCGGTTTGTTAGCGGAGACTGAAGCGGAAATTGAAGAAGCTAAGGCGAAAGCTGCTGGTGCTGGTAGTTCGGCTCCATCGACGCCTGCTGCTTCCGCTCCTTCTCCTCCTCCGCCTCCGCCGGCTCCGGTTGCTGCTCCTTCTACACCAGCTGCGGCTCCTGTTGCGGCGGATGGACCGAGGAAGATTGTTTCGACACCATTTGCGAAGAAGCTGGCGAAACAGCATAAGGTCGATATAAACAAGGTAATTGGGACTGGGCCATTTGGGAGGATTACTCCGGCGGATGTTGAAGCTGCTGCCGGAATCAAACCTGCGAAATCCTCGGCCGTCCCCTGCAACCGCCACCGCTCCTTCTGCTCCTGCTGCTGCTCCGGCTAAATCCCCACCAACATTTGCTGAAATTCCCGGGGCTACGATCGTTCCATTTACCACAATGCAAGCTGCTGTGTCAAAGAACATGATCGAGAGCTTGTCTGTGCCAACATTCCGAGTTGGCTACCCGATTATCACTGATGCTCTTGATGCTCTATATGAGAAGGTCAAATTCGTGTTTACCTATCTCCTACTGAAATCTGATCATACTCATACTAATCATATACTCCCACAGTTTAATTGATCATTCGATCCTATGATATTCCTAAATTTAACTTGTTTGTTGGTGGATGGATCTTCAGGTTAAACCCAAGGGTGTTACCATGACTGCTTTGCTAGCAAAGGCTGCTGCCATGGCCCTTGTTCAGCATCCTGTGGTCAATGCAAGTTGCAAAGATGGAAAGAGTTTTACTTATAACAACAGCATCAATATCGCAGTAGCTGTGGCTATCAATGGTGGTTTAATCACCCCTGTTCTCCAAGATGCTGACAAGGTATGCATTGGATCTTAAGTCATTTCATTCCTAGCAAAAATAGACAGAAATCCTTCATTCTGTTTGCTTTCTTGTAGTTGGATCTTTATCTGTTATCCCAAAAATGGAAGGAGCTTGTGGAGAAAGCAAGATCCAAACAACTTCAGCCCCATGAATACAACTCAGGTAACCACTAAACCATATAAGTTTCTCATTGTAATTATATCTTCTTTCTTTACAAGATTTCATGGATGAAATATGCCATTTTGATTGCAGGAACTTTTACACTTTCAAACTTAGGCATGTTTGGAGTGGATCGATTTGATGCTATTCTTCCACCTGGACAGGTATGTGTTAAAAAAAAAAAAGCTTGATTTAAGTCAATTTATGAAATCTTTATCTGTGTAAGTTTTATATTATTTAGGTCATATTGAAAATTTGAAATGTTTGATTTGTTGCAGGGTGCTATTATGGCTGTTGGAGCTTCAAAGCCTACTGCTGTTGCTGATAAAGATGGATATTTCAGTGTGAAAAATCAAATGATGGTGAGTTTTTTTTTTTTGTATATTAAATAATGTTTTTTGGAATCTTTATTAAATTCGTTTTTTAAATAATCTTTTTTCAGGTAAATGTTACTGCTGATCACCGAATCGTATATGGAGCAGATTTGGCTGCTTTCCTTAAAACATTTGCAAAGATTGTTCAAGAACCAGACATGTTGACAATGTAAAATGTTGTTCCAACTTTTTATCCTTAACAACAACAACAACAACAACAAACAATCACATGATATGATCTTGCAGCTAAGAAACTTGGTTTGCAGAGGTGGCATTATTATTCGGTTTCTAGCACATGTTGTAGCTCCATTTTTCTTTTTTCTTTTTTGTCATTTTCGGATATTCTTTGAGGTGCTTTTTGAACAGGGTTAATAAAGTCTTTTCACAACAAAGAAAATTGATATTGTATTTTGTCTAGTGCTTAGGATTGAGAAAACTGGTTCTTGTTGCTTGTTTTTTTTCTCTGATTTGGATTATGATCCTTTCAATGGAGTAATTGGTTGAAGCTGTTAGAAATCAAGTTTTTTTTTGGTTTGAAAGAATTTGCATGAATCAAATACATAACTATATTCATATGAATTGAGAAACAGGAATTTGGAAAAAAGAGAAACATTGGTATTTTGAAATTCTAACAACCCAATATATTCATATGTTATGCACAACTAATGATATCTCAAAATAACATGTAACGTAAATATAAATAACCACACTTGGAATTTGCATAAAATTAAACCATGTCAATCAATCCTTATGACAAAGCTTATTAGTTAGTTATTCCACATAATGATTTAGCAAAGAAACTTAATATGCTTTGCTTTCCCTAACATGACATCAAGTAGTCCAAAAGTAACCCCTAAATTGTTGAGAAAGGTGACTTAATCTACTCATCTTTCTTTTCATCAAGTTTTCCATCCTCATTCATTCTAGTATTCAACCTTAAAAACATCATGATTTCCATATCTATGCAAAAACAACCCCAACATACATAATATAAACAATTTGTTTACGATATATTTTTATTGTATTCACGTCATTGATATTACCCATAGCAAAAAAAAAAATCTCAATAAGTCATGGAAGGACAGGCAAGCATCAAATTGTTATTTATTTATTTATGACATTGAGCAATGAATTGTTTTTGTGACTAAATAACTTTTTATTATTTATTTTCTTGGTAAATCATTGTCATTTTTTTGGTTGTGTGAGAAATTCCATAGGTATGTTGCATGGTGATGAGGATCAACCTTGACTGCAACTCTTGTTGCAGAAAAATGAGGAGAAACATCTTAAACATGAAAGGTAAAGATTTGTTTGTTTAACCATGACGATATTTATTTTAAAAGTTTTTTTTTTTATGATTAATAATGTGTATACATAGTTTTATTAAACAAAATCATAACACAACAATCACATATATAAATTTAAAAAAAATGTTCGTTTCTTTTAATTGTATTATATTTATAAATAAAAAAAAAAATCGACCTAAAGAAAATCAAGTCGTGTCCTCAACAAAATATGTTTAAGCGATCATCTTTTGTGTTATGTTTTAAGAAAACATACACAAACAAATACAACTAATTTTGTTTGGTTCATATGTGGTAAAAAATTTTAATTAATTTTGTTTGGGACCATACAGTTTGTATTTCTGGAAATGATTTTTTTTCTTTCTAAAAGGAAACATTGCCTTTTTTGGACAACCCAAATAGAAGATATTAATTGTAGTTTCTTAACATGGAGAGAATATGCATGAGGTTTAAACTTAAAACAACAATATTAATTATCATAAAAAAGAAAGATAACAAATTTACTAACATTTTTCTTCTTTTATTTTTCAAAGAAATAGAGAAACACTTGATAGAAAAACAACAAAACA